TCCACATCTGAGGCACCCCACACTGAACTGTCCCATTCCAAGGCAATGGTCGCCCCACATCAAAACTGTTCCTTCTTGGCACCTGTTCTCCTCCTCCTTTTGTGATAGTAACAGGTTTTTGTTACCTGTTATCCCTCCATGGCTCTGTTGCTCTTTATCTTAAACAAACAGAAAACTTAAATCAGAGAAGTTAGAAAGACTAGAAATGACCAGAAATTCTATACGAGAGTGAATGAGTTCTTTAAATGGAAGGGAGGAAAGGTCTCAGCTGAAAGAAGAAAGAGGTCTTACTTTCACCAAAGGGCACATTCTTTCTCCAAAGTCTCTAGGGAGGCAAACGTGCTCAGGAGCTTACTCCCCAAAATATCTGTCGTTTCCTATGTCTTATTACCAAAGAACAAATGACCCACCGTTAAAATCTGTTTATTTATTTTGTTACTTATTTCTCAATTACATATTAAATATTTCTAAGATTTGTTTTTAAAAATTTTGAGTTTTCAATTCTTTCCCTCTCTCTTGCCTCCCCTTCTCAAGAAGGCAAGTAATATGATATTGATTGTACATGGGAAGTCACGCAAAACACATTTCCATACTGGCTGTGTTGGAAAAGAGAATACAGGAAAAAAACCAAGGAAAACAATAAAAAAAATTATGCTTTAATCCATACTCATAGTTATTTAACTCTCTCTCTCTGGAGCTGGATAGCATTTTTCTTCGTGGATCCTTTGGAATTGTATTGAATCATTATATTGATCAGAGTAGCTAAGTCTTTCATAGTTGATCATCCTTACAACGTCGATGTTACTGTGAACAATGTTATCCTGGTTTAATTATGTCACTTTGCATCAGTTCATATAAAACTTTCCTCCACCTCCCTCATAATTTCTGATGGTATACTAGTATTCATAATCATGTGCCACAGTATGTTAAACCATTCTGCAATTGATGAGCATCCCTCGATTTTCAATTCTTTGACACCACAGAAAGACCTGCTATATATATCTTTAGTGCATTAACATTTCAACGTTTCCGCGTTCCTTCCAGCATTTGCCATTTTCCTTTTTTGTCATTTTGGCCAATCTGATAGATGTGAGGTAGTACCCTATTTTACTGCATAATCGTTGTAGACTTTATGACAAATTTTTTGCAAAAAAGTGGGTGTGACTGTTATGTGAAGTTTTTTTTTCAAAAAAATTGTGCCAGTATTACTTATCTTTTAGTTTCCACCAGTCTTGCACCAACTTTTCACTCACTAAAATCTGTCTTTCTGCAGCTCTGTTTTCATGATGTTGAGTGAACATAGTCACTGTCAGCTTGAAGCCCGCAGAATAGTTTTTATGTTTACCCATTATTGGAAAGAAATGCTTCCCACATGAATGTATCACTGGCAGATGAACTGTACAGTTTAGCCAGAGCAGGATGATGCAAGTCTTACCATATCACATGACTTCCCCATGGCAGCTTTACCTGCCTGCCCGCTTCCCTTTCGCCTATGGCTTTTCATTGGGCTGAATGACAATACCGTTAGTTCTGCAGGGCTCTAAACAAACCACACAAGTCAATGAGCATCTGCTGAGAATTCTAGGCTCACAGTGTGTGAGAGATAAATGGTATTCATATGCCAGGGGTGTATAGGTTGCTATTCTGTTTACCTTTAAAGCAGCATGATGAACAGAATTATACCATGCGATGATTATACGTTGAAAAGTTATTAACCAATTTTTTGACTGAAAAAACAGAGTGAGATGATTATGGGGTGGTGATGATTATGCAGTAAAATACGGTATCTCAGAACTGTTTTGATTTAAAACAACATGGAAACTTATAATAATTCTCCTTTTCACAGTGGCTTCCGGTTTTTAATCTAGTAGTCTCAGGATCTGGCATTAATTGATGGGCGTATGTCCTAGATTAAAGAAGGGGAAGGAAAGAGGAAAGAAGACGGGAAAAACAGAAGGGAGGGTGGACTTAATGTCAGGGATGCTGCAAAATGACCTGGGGGTTGCTGGCAGTTGTTTTTCCACTTCTCCAGAATGAATCCATCCCTACAATACTCTGGTTACACAGCGATTTCCATCCACAGCAATTCACACTGTGAGCAATATTGCTCAAAATTAAAATGAAACATAAACAACCCTCATTGACCAGATGAATCCAGTAATTAAATAAAGAATCATGACTCAATGTGACTGTAGGTGTTTTTAATATGCTAAACTCTTTGTCTCCTAAAGCTAACTAATGTCTTAATCAAAGCTGTTATCTGCATAACTAATTTACTCTTTTGACTATCTAGACTAGAAGTTCCCAAACTTACTTGGCCCACCACCCCCATTTAAAAAAAATTTACTCAGTGCCTGCTGGAAATCTACTTTCTTTAACCCTTTAACTGTTTTTTGAAATTTGCATCATTTCCAAAAATTTAAAAAGTGATGCATCTTAAATTTAATAATTTATTATACATTTTGGGTTTTTTCTTACATTGAAATTTTGATGATGCAATATTGCGCCATGTAACCTTATAGTGTCAAATTGTAAACAAGTCATTACATGCCCATATTCCTGCTGATGCATGCTGGACTTCCTAACAATATGTGACACACTCACCTGCCAACACTTGCTTGTTAAGACCTGCCAGCAGACTTGACCACTGATTAGTTATATGTTGCATTTTGCGTGTTTATTTGGAAAATAATGTAATCACTATAATTTTAATTCTGTTATAAAACAGACGAAACATGTACAAATGGTTTTTCAAAATTTTTTTCTCTTCTCTTCTTTCCTTATGCTTCCACAGCCCTCTTATTTTAATTCAAGGCCCTCCAATTGCCCCTCAGGCTACTACCAGCCCCCTGGATCATTCCAGTGCTACCCCCAGGGAGTGGTAGCACTCACTTTGGGAACTTGTGATTCTAGATTCACCAATTTCAATTAAGAATCAAAGAGCTAATTCCTAATTTGCAGGGAAGTCACAAATGATTTCTACCCATCCCACTTTTATGTAATGTTACATTTATTATTCAACTTTAATTCTCAAGCATGTTTTTTAATTCCTGAAAGGCCAAACTCCAGGCTATTTTCCAAAGATTATATCCATTTTGAAGATAGCACATTTTCAAATCAAATGTTACCATCCTTTTTAATTAAGCAGACTGATTCCTAAAATGCCCAATTAAATCTTAATGGTTTCAAAAATTGATGTCCCTTTCAATTCTATGATTTTAATAAACTTAAAATAATCATTTTCTCTTTACTTTGTAACAGGTTGAAATACCTAGGTATTTTTAGGACTATATTTCTGGATAATGGCAAGAGGGAGGAAAAGGAAGGGAAGAGAACACACATTTATTAAGCACCTACTATATACCAAGCACTGTGCTATGAACTTTGCAAATAATATCTTTTTTCATCCTCATCATACCCTTTTCAGGTACATGCTATCATTCTCCCCATTTTAAAGCTGAGGAAAGGGGCAGCTAGGTGGCGCAGTGGATAGAGCACCGGCCCTGAAGTCAGGAAGACCTGAGTTCAAATCCGGCCTCAGACCAAACACTTGACACTTACTAGCTGTGTGACCCTGGGCAAGTCACTTAATCCCCAATTGCCTAAAAATAAAAAATAAAAAATAAAGTTGAGGAAACTGAGTCAAACCGAGGCATTTCTCTAATAAATAGTGACTTAGAGCATTTTTATGTGATTATTAATAGCTTTGATTTCTTCCTCTGAAAATTGCCTGTTCCCATCCTTTACCTATTTATCAATTGGGGAATGGCTTATATTTTTATAAATTTGTCTTAGTTCCCTGTATATTTGTGAAATGAGGTCTTAATCAGAGAAATTTACTGTGAATTGTTTTTTGTTTCTTGTTTTCCTTATAATTTTGGCTCTATTAGTTTTGTTTGTCAAAACCTTTTTAATTTCACGTAATCAAACTTATCCATTTTACCTAACATGATCTTCTCTATCTCTTGTTTGGTGATAAATGGTTCCCTTATCCATAGATCCTACAGGTACATTTCCCCATGCTCCTCTAATTTAGTTATATAATTTTTTAATATATAAATCATGTATCCATTTTGAAATTATCTTGGTATATGATGGGAAATGTTGGTCTATGCCTAGTTTCTGTCAGATGGCTTTCTGCTTTTCCCAGCAATTTTTGTTAAATGGTGAGTTCTTATTCCAAAGCTTGCATCTTTGGAGTTATACGCTAGATTACTATGGTCATTGATCGTTGTGTATTGTGTACATATACGACCTATTTGTGCTGGACCTGTGGTAGAACTTTCCAAGCTTATATTGGTCTGATCAGCCAGTTGGATACACTTTCCCTCGACTTGAACATAGTGATATTATTTTGGTCTTCTTTGGGAGTAAAGGACAACAACCACCCCTAAACCATTCTGTGCCTAATCTATTCCACTGATCCAGCCTTCTATTTCTTAGCCAGTACCAGATTGTTTCGACAATTATGCTTTGTAATATAGTTTGAAATCTAGTACTGCTAGGCTGACTTTTTTTACACTTTTCCACAATGTCCAAAGCTTTGACTCAGAATTCTCTGCACAATTAAGAGTCAAGCCTTCCTCAGCAAATACAGAATCATCCAAAAGGCCCCAGCTTTGTTTGGAAGCCCAGTTATACATTGTTTCATAATTAAGAGTCAATGTGGAAAACGGAATATCTTGGAAGCTCATGAATGATATCTGGGGAGAGGAAAATGGGATATATGCTCATGAATGTACATGTGTATGCAACTGTGTGATTGAGAAGAAGAGGCTGCTTCTGTGTGTGCATGAGGGTGTGGTATGTACTCACCTAGGAGATTCTGAAGGCACATTTGGCCAGTAGGTACTACTGAGTCATAAGCTTCCATCATCACTCTAGTGATTGGATTATGGGACAGAATTTTACTGACCGTGAAAGGTTCTTGAATGTTCTTTGTTCTTTTTTCCCAAGGTATCTCTGGCTGTGTCTTCATATTCCCACAATACTCCGAGGGCATGTTTCTACATGATACTGTTCTGGGAATTATCTTCCTTTCTCAAACTGCAGTTGGGGTCCTAGGGAACTCCATCTTCCTCTGGTTTTATACATTCATTTTGTTCACCAACCATAGGTGGAAGCCTATGGACCCCATTCTCACTCAACTTACTTTCACCAATACTATAGTGCTTCTCTCCCAGGGATGCCCACTAGCAATATTATATTTCAGGAGAGGATATTTCCTGGGCATTACAGCATGTAAAATTGTATTTTATCTTCAACGAGTCAGCCGGGGACTTTCCGTATGTACCACCTGTCTACTGAACACCTTTCAGGCAGTCACCATCAGTCCTAACAACTCTAGGCTGGCCAAACTCAAAGTCAGACTTCTGAAATTCACCCTTCCCTCATGTTTCCTCTGTTGGATTATCAACATGATCTTAGAAATAAATGTGCCAATATATATATCAGAATCAAGAAGCAGAAACAGTACCCACACAAGTGGAATTCATCTCCTTTATTGCTACTGGGAAAAAATTTTTATGGATATTATCATCCTGCCTTCCCTTCGAGACATCTTGTGTGTGGGATGCATGGTCTGTACCAGTGGCTACATGGTATTTCTACTGTACAGACATCACCAGAGGGTCAAGCATATTCACAGCACCAGCCTCTCCTCAAAGACATCTCCAGAGATGAAGGCCACCCAAACCATCTTGCTGCTAGTGAGCATCTTTGTTTCTACTTATGGCATCAGCTGCGGCTTTATACTGCACAAAGTGTATATGATTCATTCTGGAACTTGGATGATGATTGTGAATACATTTATTGTATCGTGTTTCCCAGCCAGCAGCCCCTTTTTGCTGATTCACAGAGAAATCCAAATCCCCAGGTCTTGCGGTGCTTCCTGGTGGAGGCCCTATTCTCAGAACAAGTTATAGGGTTCACAAGTGATCTCCAAGGGTACACCCCCTTACTGAAGATGTCTGGAAAAGGCATTGATTGACCTGATACTATCCAAAGAAAATGAATGAAAATGAACCTGGATCTTGGTTGTGGGAGACAGTCACCTTTTCCATACTGAAGTGTAAAGGACAGATGGGCCTGAATGGGAGCTTGGGATCACTAGGGCCATGTGCTTCCTCTTGCCTCTCTGAAATATAAAATCTTCTGTCAGCCCCTTCCCATCTGGCCCAAATTTTCCTTCTGTCATCATAGAATGTTCCTCCTCCAGCAATCTTTAGGTCACCCAAAATGGATTTCTCTTTGTTCCTCATACACATTCTATTTCCATTTCCATGCTTTTTCTTTTTAATTTTCTTTTGTTTTCAATTCATGGAACAAAACAAGCATTTCTATAACACAGTACAATAAAAAAGATGATTGCACATGAAACTTCAAATCTACAATGTTAAACTTGCTATTTCCTCCAAATATACAACCAAGTTGTCATGTAAGTTTCTTTTTTCCCTTTTTTTCTTCCCTTCCCTTTCCTTGCCCTAGAGATGACTACCATTGGACACAATATACATACATATATATATATATATACTATGTATAAAATATATATGTGTATGTGTATATATGTATACATATATCATAAGGCACAATATATGTGTGTGTGTATATATGCATATATGCATGTGTATGTGTATATACACATACATATGTACACCATTAGACAATAATATTTTGTTGTATTGACTGTTTCATTAAAATTCAGGTTGACACATTATATACAGTGACAGCAGTAGCGTTTTAAGAGCATAATATAATATGTCCATGTGTAGATGCATGTACACACATATATGTATGTGTGTATATACACATACATGTGCATATATATAAGTTCTTGTACACATATTTCTATTTGTCAATTCTTTCTTTGGATGCAGATATCTTCTGTCTTCATATCCTTCATGTTTCATTTGCATGTTTATAATAGTCAAAATGACTTATGAGGTGGACTGAGTTGTCACAAAAACAACTCCCCCCTAGCCTGACCTCCTGAGTTTCTACTTCAAAGGATCGCTAATCACAATTGTAAACTCTCCTACCCCAAAGGATCGCTAATCCACAATTGTAAATTCCCCTACCTCAAAGGATCGCTAATCCACAATTGTAAATTCCCCTACCTCAAAGGATTGCTAATCCACAATTGTAAACTGCTGGGTATAAAGTTTTGTTATTTCCCTTGCTTGGGACTGCTCTCCTAGGATTGCATCCAGGGGACAGTCGCCGGCCGGCTCCAGTAAATGCTCTCTATTTTCTAATTTGGCGTGTGTCTGGTTACTCTCGGCCCGTCCATTTCAACTTAGTCTCTCAAAGTCTTTCTTCAGATAACATTGCTGTTACTATACAAAATGTTCTGAGTTCTGCTTACTTTGTTCTTCATCATACAATGTGCCCCATATAAACCCTGTTCTTAGCCCCCTCATTTGGTACCCCAGTATTTGCTGTGTGGCACCCAGAGCCACAGCCTTCTTGTTCTGATTAAAGAGCTCCATTTTGTTGTATTGACTGTTTCATTAAAATTCAGGTTGACACATTACATACAGTGATAGCAATATTGTTTTAAGAACAAGTTTTTGCAAATAAGTAATTTAAAGAAGCAGTTTGCCTACTCTCTGCACAATTAGGTATAGAGCATGTCCCCATTCATCTGCAAAAAGGGAAAGAACCTATGTGTTCTGAAATATTTATAGCAGTTCTCTTCGTGGTGGCAAAGAATTGGAAATTGTGAGGATTCATTTCAGTTGGGGAATGACTGAACAAGTTGTGGTATATGACTGATAGAATACTATTGTGCTATAAGAAATGATGAGCTCAATGATCTTAGAAAAACATGGAAAAATGCACAAAATAATGAAGAGGGAAATGAGCAGAACCAAGAGAACATTTGACAAACAGAATTGATTGAGAATTGACTGAAGACGACCTGGTTTAGGTTTCCAGGCCAATGAACTACCTGAGGCTGACCAGACATTATCACTTCAGCCTCTAACTATTTTGTAAATCGCCCAAAATCTCCCTTAGGGAGATTCCCAAGCTTTCTTTATGAACTTTTTCTTGTTATGCAAAGCAACTTATCTGGTGATACCTGACCCCTCCCACCTGCGGTTTGGCCATACCCTCTTCCTAACTCCCCCCTCTCCAACCTGCAGCTTGGTCATTCCCCCATATAAACCCTGTTCTTAGCCCCCTCATTTGGTACCCCAGTATTTGCTGTGTGGCACCCAGAGCCACAACCTTCTTGTTCTGATTAAAGAGTTCCATTTTGTTGTATTGACTGTTTCATTAAAATTCAGGTTGACACATTATATACAGTGACAGCAGTAGCGTTTTAAGAGCAAGTTTTTGCAAATAAGTAATTTTGACTGTTACAAAAATCTGAATGAACTACAAAGGACATGTGAAGGAAGACAGTATCTGTATGAAGAGAAATAACTTATAAATGTATGTATAGAATGATTTTTTTCTCTCCTGTCTTTTTCCCTTCTTCCCTCCTCCACCTCTCCCCTTCTGTCTCTCTCTCCATTATCATCCTCATCTCTCTCTCTCTCTCATCATCTTCTTATTTGTGTCTAATTGTAATCATCCCTAGGGCAATGTGGGGAGGGAAGAAAAAAATGTACATGATAACTTTATTACCCATTTATGTATATTATATATTTAAAAGGAACAAAAGTTGCACATAATAGATTTGAAGTTTTGTGTGTGTGTGTTTTTAAAAATTATACTGTTATGGAAATGCTTGTTTTATTCCATAAACTAAAAGTAAAATAAATAAAAATTTCAAAGATCCTTTTGAAATAAGTGAGTTGCCTTGCTTATACTCTCCTCATAGTAACGTCCTTACCTCTATGTTACATGGTAGGTCAGGTGTGTATGTCAATGAGCAGTGTCTTAGATTGGAAAGAATGCCAGATTTGCAAGAAGAAGCCCTGTGAGTTGAAACTGTGGCCAAGTAAGACCCTTTGTGATCAGCACTAGCTGACCACAAATTCTGAGGGACCAGTCTACTAAACTTTCCTTCCATTTTGTCCCACATCAGCCTAGTGTGCCCTGGCCTGGGCTACTGGGAGACCCTGAATGGTCTATGACAAAGAGAGCAAAAGACATTTGGTGACCAAACTGGAAAGTGCCCTGGACAAATCCAAGCATGAAAAGAACAAGTTGTCCTTAAAGGTTATCGACACAATGATGCACAACCTCCTTCCTTCAAGGCAAAGGACCTGTAAGGACTCTTGGGAGTGTCTGGGATGGGTTACTCTGGGACAAAAATGTCAGAGCAGTATCCAGTGCCAAGGAGTCACGTCACATAGGAAATATCCCACACATTCACTCTGATGACCCTAGCAGAAGTAGTGGAAGGGGCTTCTTTAGGGAACCTCCCCAAGGGGAATGGCAGAAACCACGATCTGGGAATAGGAGCTGTAATGACGGGTCAGTGAAGCTGTACATACCCTTTGACCCAGTTTGGGAGGATCTGTATCCTAACAGCTACTCCGCCCCCCACACAATTTAGGATAGTTTTTTCTTTAAAAGGCATTGAGACCCTCCTCATGACTTGGTTAGCCCAAGGGACTGAATAAAGGCTCAGGCTCTTGACAACACTCCCTGGCTGCCTGAATACAAAAGAACCACGGGTTGAAAGAGGTCCTCACTTTGATGTTTGCAGGATGGATGCTGCAAGGTAATTCAGGCCAGGGAGCACATTCAACTGAAGCGACTCAAGGGGTCCTCCACATCTATCCCTATTGAATAGCCTTCACCTGCTAGGGCTAAGTCAGTATCCTCTTGTTAACTTTTGAGTGACTTATAAATATCTCATTTTGTTCCAATATTGGACCCAAACATCCATGGGACTGCCCTAAGAAAGGCTCTACCCCTAACTGTGGGAGTAGTCAGCAAATGGGCTGGTGGAAATGGGGGATGGGTAGTTTAGCCTGGAGTGTCAATTGCCAGTGGCCATTCACCAAGGAGAAACTTAATTGAGCACCGCCTGCCCTTAAGAAGTATACATCAGAGATAACTGGGGTAACTTGCTTGAAGCTGTCCAGCTGTGTCAGGCCTTCCAGCTTGGTAAATGAAGGCTCCTCCAGGTTTTGGTAAAGGATCTCTTCAGAATTCAGGTGACCTTCAAAGTAGCCTAAAGGGACCAAATTTTTGGATCTTGGAAAGAGATTTTCCCCAAAGCAGAAAAGGAAAAATCAGAAGAAAGAGTTCTTCCTGCCCTTGTCCTTGCAAAGATTTTGTTTGTTAATGGTCATGTCACTCTGATGCGGTTTAGGGGCTCAAGGGTCCTAGGACCCCAAAGTCACAACACACGGGTCCTGCCCAAAAGAATTTGACCCAGTTGACCCTTTCAGCTAAAGACAAGGTTTATTAGAACATTCATCATATTGGGCAGACTCTTAAGGAGTCTGAACATTAGTAAACTATTGGCTAGATTATAAGAATCTAAGCAGCAGCTAGATTTTAGGAATCTGAGCAGTGGCTAGATTATAAGAATCCCAGCCTCTTAATGGAGGCAAGATGGACTTTATATACAGAAAGCCTGTGGGAGGGATCTAGGAGTGGCCAAGTAGTTTGGGGTGACTGGAGGAGGGGTCTAAGGAGATCTGGATGGGAGTGGCCAGTAAACTGGGGTGAACAGAACTCCAGGGACCTGGACAGTGGAGCCTAGCTAGGATTAGGTGTGGTAAATGGCCAGGAGCCACAGGGAGGCAAGACAAAGGAGGGGAGATTGGCTGTAGCCACAATGAAAGGCCTGTTGATGGGATTATAGCCTCAGGTGAATGCCAGAGATTTGGTCACATGGGAAAATCCAGGGTTTTTCCTTTCCGGGGTCTAGATCCCATCCTCATCAACTCAATGCCTAGGGGAGCCTGATCAAAAGAAAGGGCGTCCTTACTTCCAAGGAATTCTCTTTGTGTGA